TGCAATAAATCATTGGATCCAACCTCAAATTTAAGAACGTAGGCAGCCCTTTGATATCTTCTAACTTGGCAACTGTTGTCGAGGGGTGGGTAGGGGGCAACAAATTCACTGGGGGAACCTTTTCATTTCATCACGTGCCACGTTGGCAAAGCCACCCAAGGCAAGACAAAAGACAGAACTTTATTCCGGTCATGGACCAAGAAAAGAACGATCAATAAAATGAACAATACCGGAGTATCATCTAACAATGAGGACTTTTAAGCAACCATTTGTGGGTGAAGCTTACGGATTATTTAGCACATTTATGAGAATATTTGTAACTCAGGGTTGAATTGTGGGGTCCTTGGTGGAGTTTGAGAGGGGAGTTTGAAGAGGAGGTGGAAGAGGAGGAGGAGGAGGTGGAAGAGAACTGAAGGGTTGCTTGGTGCTCTCTGACCTTGGGGGTTTTCTTGCAGACGTTTCATGACCCAACTTGGTAACATCATCAGTGCCACTGATCAGTACTGAGGATGTTACTTAGTTGAGTCATGAAATGTCTGCAAGAAAACAACTAAGCTCAGTGAGCATCAAGGAGCCCCCCAACAGTCGTCGTCATCCTCCTCCTCCTCTTCCTCCTCCTCTTCCTCCTCTTCCTCCATTCCACAAATTCCCTCCTCCCTTGTAACACTGATGAGGTTCCCTAGTTGGGTCATGAAATGTCTACAAGGAAAAAAACCAAGCACAGAGAGCACCAAGGACCCAACCCCAACAGTCCTCCTCCTCCTCCTCCTCCTCCTCCTCCTCCTCCTCCTCCTCCTCCTCCTCCTCCTCCTCCTCCTCCTCCTCCTCCTCTCCACAAATTCCCTCCTCCCTTCCAGCATGGATGATGTTCCCTAGTTGGGTCATGAAACGTCTGTAAGAAAACAACCAAGCTCAGAGAGCCCCAAGGAACCCACCATTAAGAACGTTTCAGGACCTTGGACAGATCTTGGGTTTCATTGTTTTATATATACCACTGGATTGACAAGTCCTTCTAAGCTCCGCCCCCTTTCTGAAATATACAGAAGCCATGAGGCTAAAACAGCCTTTCGCTATATCTCAATGCTTTTCACTGGACTTTTTCATTGATTTATGACGAGAGCCAGTTTGGCACAGTGGTTAAAGGCATCAGGCTAGAAACCAGGAGACCGGGAGTTCTAGTCCCACCTTAGGCACAAAGCTAGCTGAGTGATCTTGGGCCAGTCACTCTCTCTCAGCCCTAGGAAGGAGACAAGGGCAAACCACTTCTAAAAAAAAACTGCCAAGAAAACCACAGGGACTCCTCCAGACAATCTCTGAGAATTGTGCATGGTTGAAGAGCAGAAAAGAAAAATAGGATGACCCAATAAACCTGTACTTGATGCAAAACCATGCTGGCTGGGGAATTCTGGAGTTGAAGTCCACACATCTTCCAGTTACCAAGATTGGAAATTACCAAGGGTGTAGTAAAGGTAAAGGTTCCCCTCGCACATATGTGCTAGTCGTTCCCGACTCTAGGGGGCGGTGCTCATCTCCGTTTCAAAGCCGAAGAGCCAGCGCTGTCCGAAGACGTCTCCGTGGTCATGTGGCCGGCATGACTCAATGCCAAAGGCGCACGGAACGCTGTTCCCTTCCCACCAAAGATGGTCCCTATTTTTCTACTTGCATTTTTTACGTGCTCTCGAACTGCTAGGTTGGCAGAAGCTGGGACAAGTCACGGGAGCTCACTCCGTTACGCAGCACTAGGGATTCGAACCGCTGAATTGCCAACCTTTTGATTGACAAGCTCAGCATCTTAGCCACTGAGCCACCGCATCCCTTAAATTACCAAGGGTGTAATTTAAGGCAATTTGTTGTCTTCTGCACTGATCCTTCCGCTTCAAATACCATGACCATTTGAAGTTACAACGGCACTGAAAAAAGTGACTTATGACCGTTTTTCACACTTACGGCCATTGCAGCCTCCCCATGGTCATGTGATCAAAACTCAGACACTCGGCAAACTGACTTGTATTTATGATGGTCCTGGGGTCACGTGATTCCCTTTTGCAACCTTCCAACAAGTGAAGTCAACGGGGAAGCCAGATTCGCTTAACAACCGTGTGACTAACTCAACAACTGCAGTGATTCACTTAACGACGGTGGCAAGAAAGGTCGTAAAAATGGGGCAAAGTTCACTTAACAAATGTTCCTTGCTTAGCAACAGAAATTTTGGGCTCGATTGTGGTCGTAAGTTGAGACTGCCGCCTGTAGTCTCTTTCCTTCTGAGTTTATGGGCTCACTCCTGGCCTATCCTATCCAGTCGTGGGACAATTTTATATTAGGACTGGATCAGTGGTGGGATTCAAATAATTTAACAACCGGTTCTCTGCCCTAATGACCAGCTGGGTAGGCGTGGCTCAGTGGTCATGTGACGGTGTGGGCATGGGCAACTCAATATCACTCACATCGATGGGCGCTTCGCCTTAGCTGTTACAATGTAACAAGGGTTAACCAGAGAGGCAGTTTCTGTAAGCAGGGCAATAAAGATGAGGCTAGAAACACCACCAGAATGTTTCCTTCCTGCCTTCCTTACAGGATTAGCCCTGCAAAGTGGGAAAAAAACAAAATAAGATTTCTTCCAACAATCGGTTCTCCGAGCTGCTTAGAAAGTTAACAACCAGTTCTCCCGAATAGGTGCGAACTGGCTGAATCCCACCACTGGATCACATGCCTTCAAAATCAACACCCAACACTCTTGCAATCTTATTTATTCCAAGACACTCACTTCTTAATGTACGTCACCAAATTCTATTTCAAAAACCCAGTTACGAAAGAGGATTGGATTTTTTTAAAAAAAAGGAAAACAGAAATGGACCACAGAAGAACAAATCTCTTTAACCAAAAGAGAAGATTAGATTTTCTTTTGCTTTTCCAAGGTGGGTTTTTGGGAAGTTAATCCTCTGGCATTGTTGCATGATTGCCCCATTTTCTTCTTCTCTCTCCCTCTGCATTTAACTCCTCGTCTTCCTTTCTGAAAACACCGGCAGAAACTGAGCTGTCTGGGTGGCAAAAAATCTGAAGGAATCTGCTTGCCCCCTTTTCCAACTGATTTTATTCAAAAGCCCCGTCAACTTTCCTGAGCTGCAACTTTTGCCTTTTAATGCAAGGTGTTAGTTAGTAAAGGTGCTGCTAGACTCCTTCTGACTTTCTTAAAAGAGAGTTTATTAAACTCTCAGATGCTTAAAGTCTCTTATAAAGAAGATATGAAGAACGGTTGCAGGAACTGGGTATGTCTAGTTTAATGAAAAGAAGGACTAGGGGAGACATGATAGCAGCCTTCCAATATCTCAGGGGCTGCCCCAAAGAAGAGGCAGTCAAGCTATTCTCCAAAGCACCTGAGGGTAGAACAAGAAGCAACGGGTGGAAACTAATCAAGGAGAGAAGCAATTTAGAACTAAGGAGTAAATTCCTGACAGTGAGAACAATTAACCAGTGGAACGACTTGCCACCAGAAGTTGTAAATGCTCCAACACCGGATGTTTTTAAGAAGAGGTTGGATAACCATTTGTCTGAAGTGGTGTAGGGTTTCCTGCCTGAGATGGGGGTTAGACTAGAAGATCTCCAAGGTTCCTTCCAACTATTCTATTCTACTCTACTCTACTCTACTCTACTCTACTCTACTCTACTCTACTCTACTCTACTCTACTCTACTCTACTCTATTCTATTCTATTCTATTCTATTCTATTCTATTCTATTCTATTCTATTCGACTCCACTCCACTCCACTCCACTCCACTCCACACCATATTTTCTATTCTATTCTTTTTTTTATTGCAAAAGTTTTACAATTACATTTTCACCCCCTTTTTTTCACCCCCCCACCTCCCTCCCCAAACTTCCCGTCCTCCCTAGCCCTCCCTAACCCTCCCCCCCAGACTTCCCTATTATATACTCATAACTAATAATACTGATATATATACCTGAACCCATCCCTCCCCCTATATAATTTTCCCTCTTTATCTCTTTACATTAAAATATTTCTAATACATTGTTTTCAAATAAAAGCTATTTGGTACTTTCTAGTTTGGTATTTGTTCTGAACATATTCTATCCACCTTTTCCATTCCCATTCATAAGTCTCTTGTGAACAATCTTTTAAATATGCTGAAATCTTCGCCATCTCTGCAAAACTGGCCATCTTCAAAGTCCATTCCTCGATAGTAGGCAAAGCTTCATTCTTCCAATATTTACCTATCAACAATCTTGCTGCTGTTATCATATACAATATTAATTTTATTTCACCCCGTGTAAAACCCTTAACTATACCCAATAAAAACAATTGTGGAGAAAATTGAATTTTTTTCTTCAAAACATTCTGCATGACCCACCATATTTTTATCCAAAAAGCCTTAACTTTCCTACAGGTCCACCAAACATGATAATACGTCCATATTTTCTATTCTATTCTATTCTGTTCTGTCCTGTCCTGTCCTGTCCTGTCCTGTCCTGTCCTGTCCTGTCCTATCCTATCCTATCCTATCCTACTCTACTCTACTCTACTCTATTCTCTACTCTCTTATCCTATCCTATCCTATCCTGGAGCCTTCCCACCCCTTCTCTTCTAATTTCTTCCCTCCAAGTTTCCCCATGCATCCGTCTGAATCTTTGCAACGTCCGTGTGGCTTTAATCTGCTGCAAAACTCAAAGGAGGATGAGAAGCAACAGGCCAGGAGCCATTTTTTTTCCAGCTCTGGTGCTTCCCCCCCCCTTTTTTTTGCAGTTCGGTCCTTCCCTCTTCCCTTTCTTCTGCTCCAGAAGTCCTCAACTTAAGGCAGAAACATGGCACAGGCCCCCCACACACACATACTTTTTTTTTCTTTTGCAGCCACTGCCAAACACTGACTAAAGAAACTTCTCCAGTTACTGCCCCTCCCTCCCTTGGAGAGAGAGGGTCCCCATTGGCCAAAGCGGAGCCAGGGACCACCTCTCAGCTTCTTGCCAATCGGGTCCTGCATGTCCCAGGCATCCTGTGTCATAAACCTAGCCTCCCTTTCGGTCTGCGTGCTTTGCAAAACAGCTCTGGGGAGCCTGGAGTACCCAGAGCTCAGACCGCATCCGTCATGGAGCAAATAAGCTTGTTGCTAAGTCTGCTCTTCCTTGGGGAGCAGCTGAGTCCCAACCTGGCTTGTCAGCTGCCTTCCGACTGGAGGCCGCTCAGCGAAGGGTGCCGGGCAGAACTGGCAGCCACCATTGTCTACGCCAAAGTCTTAGCGCTGCACCAGGATACGTATAGTATGTACAACTATTTGCCCTGGCAGTACGAAGCCTTGGACGGAGGGCTGTTTTACTCCGCCGAGATCGAGATGCTGTGCGACCAAGCTTGGGGGAGCATGTTGGAGGTGCCAGCTGGCTCCCGCTTAAACCTAACCGGGTTGGGCTACTTCTCCTGTCATTCCCACACGGTCATGCAAGATTATTCCTACTTCTTCTTCCTCAGGTGAGTCACCTTTGCTCAACTTTAGAGAGAGACAACCTGGTCTGCGGTAATAAAGAAAAAAAACATGGCACGGATTTCGTGCCCAGGTCTCGTGTTTGTGTGTTTGTGTGTAGAACATCTGCGGAGATTCTCCATCGTCCGGGTCCTGGTTGTCCTGAAGGCGCTTTCAAAAAGGTAACAGTAACAGAGTTGGAAGGGCCCTTGGAGGTCATCCAGTCCAACCCGCTGCTCACTTTCTTGGGAGTCCAGTTGCCTTTTTGAAAAACATTTTTGGGTTGTGTGCGCAGGTTGCTTGAGCTCATCCCTGTTGCTCGAAAAAAACGTCTCTTTGGCTTAAAGGCTCTTTAGGAAGTTTAGGATGGGATGGTGGTGATGGAGAGAAACCCCTCAGACATAATAGGAGGAATGCGGAGTTTTGCCCTCTGGGTATTATTTCTGACTTCAGGGCCTGGCGTCTGTTTTTGAGTCCCTAGAACTAAGGAGAAACTTCCTAACAAGGAGGACAATTAACCAGTGGAACAACTTGCCTCCAGAAGTTGTGGATGCTTCATCACTGGAGGCTTTTAAGAAGAGACTGGATAGCCACTTATCTGAAATGGGATAGGATCTCCTGCTTGAGCAGGGGGTTCCTTCCTTCCTTCCTTCCTTCCTTCCTTCCTTCCTTCCTTCCTCCCTTCCTTCCTTCCTTCCTTCCTTCTCCATCTCTGGAGGTTTTCAAGAAGAGATTGGACAACCACTTGTCTGGAATGGCATAGGGTCTCCTGCTTGAGCTCGGGGTTGGACTAGAAGACCTCCAAGGTCCCTCCCAATTTTTTTGTTTCTGTTTTCCTTCCTTCCTTCCATCCTTCCATCCTTCCTTCCTTCCTTCCTTCCTTCCTTCCTTCCTTCCTTCCTTCCTTCCTTCCTTCCTTCCTTCCTTCCTTCCTTCCTTCTCCATCTCTGGAGGTTTTCAAGAAGAGAATGGACAACCACTTGTCTGGAATGGTATAGAGTCTCCTCCTTGAGCAGGGGGCCAGACTAGATGGAAGACTTCCAGGGTCCCTTCCGTTATTCTGTATACCAAGAAAGGAGAATATTTGTATCTCAGGCTTGAGATGAGGGGTCCTTGGTGCTCTCTGAGCTTGGAGGTCTTCTTGCAGACGTTTCATGGCCCAACTAGGGAACCTCATCAGTGCTATGTTCCTGAGTGTTCCCCAAAGCAAACAGACCTTTGGATGTTCTAATGCTGCTTTTTTTCTCAAGAGGCAACTGGACTTTCGCTTCTCATCCTAGAAGCTTCTTCGGCTCTGACAAAGCGGCAGGGAACGGAATGGATTTAGCCTTCCAGTTATCCTTCCATTAGGATAGATAGAACCATTAGATTTATCCTTCCATTCATCCAGACGGACCTTTGGATGTTATAAAGTTAAAAGGACACATCAGGCAGATAGCCAAAATCTTCCTGACGGCGTGCAGAAAGATATTTATGTAACTTAAAGGAAAATTTAAAAATAGATGAATGCACAGATGCACATTACCTGCCAGCAATCGGAAGTTGCCCCAAAGAAGAGGGAGTCCAGCTATTCTCCAAAGCCCCTGAAGGCAGGAGAAGAAGCAACGGATGGAAACTCATCAAGGAGAGAAGCAACCTGGAACGTAGGAGGAATTTCCCAACAGTGAGAACAATTAACCAGTGGAACTGCTTGCCACTAGAAGTTCTGAATTCTCCAACACTGACTGGAAGTTTTTAAGAAGTGACCGGACAACCCTTTGTATGAAATGGTACAGAGTCTCCTGTTTGAGCAGGGGGTTGGACTAGATGACCTCCGAGGTCCCTTCCAGCTCTATTCTGATTCTAAGCTGAAATTTGGAAGTCTTTTTTATTGTTTCAACCATGTATGAATTAGGCTGCTTCCTCCTCTTCGTATCCTGGGCATGCAGTCCCCCCATTGGGACCAGATATATCGGAAGGACAACAGTCAGCTGGGAAAGTCTGTTGCAAATCTTTCCCCCCCATTTAATTCCCTCCCGAGTTGAAGTTTTTTCAGCTGCCCGAAAGACACGATTAGAAAAGAAGCTAAGCTAAGCACTTGACTCAAGTCTCTTGGGACAATCTTTGAGGCAGATCTTTTGTTTTTCCTCTATCCAGACTCTCCTTGTTCTTTGGAAAGAGATTTTTTGGAAGAGATTCTGAATTGGAATGCTTAAGTGGGCTTCCCATTTGGATGGGGGACCACCAGGGGATCCCGGGAATGACGAGTTTCTTCCATGTTCATGGAAAAGAAGTCATCAGTCCCCATGAGACATTGGTGTGATTTCCTTCGCTCGAGAAGGAGATTTAAGAGAGCTCTGGTTTTTCTTAAATGGATGTTCTGGAAATAGAAAGACACGAGAATGATGAATGGTCTTCTCTGCCCTGGGTAATAAAATGGTGGGTCAGGCCAATTTCTGAGTTTAGGATTTGGCTGTCAAGACGGTCATGTGATCCTTACATAATGTCAACAATCCAGCTTGACTATCCGAATAAAAAGTCCAGGATCCAGCAACGAATAACATTCTGAGCTTGGTTGTCCTAGCACTGATGTTGTTACCTAGTCAGGTAATGAAATGTCTGAAAGAAAACAACCGAGTTCAGAGAGCACCAAGGATCCCATACAGTCCTCCTCCTCCTCCCCTCCCTCCTCCTCCTCCTCCTCCTCCCTCCTCCTCCTTTCCACAAACGCCATTCCCCTCTAGCACTGATAATGTTGCCTAGTTGGGTCATGAAACGTCTGCAAGAAAACCACCAAGCTCTGAGAACACCAAGGATGACCCCCACTCCTCCTCCTCCTCCTCCTCCTCCTCCTCCTCCTCCTCCTCCTCCTCCTCCTCCTCCTCCTCCTCCTCCTTTCCACAAATGCCATTCCCCTCTAGCACTGATAATGTTACCTAGATGGGTCATGAAACGTCTGCAAGAAAACCACCAAGCTCTGAGAACACCAAGGATGACCCCCACTCCTCCTCCTCCTCCTCCTCTCCTCCTCCTCCTCCTCCTCCTCCTCCTCCTCCTCCTCCTCCTCCTCCTCCTCCTCCTCCTCCTCCTCCTTCTCCTCCTCCTCCTCCTCCTTTCCACAAACTCCATTCCCCTCTAGCACTGATAATGTTACCTAGATGGGTCATGAAACATCTGCAAGAAAATCACCAAGCTCTGAGAACACCAAGGATGATCCCCACTCCTCCTCCTCCTCCTCCTCCCTCCTCCTCCTCCTCTCCATAAACTCCATTCCCTTCTAGCACTGATAATGTTACCTAGATGGGTCATGAAACGTCTGCAAGAAAACCACCAAGCTCTGAGAACATCAAGGATGACCCCCACTCCTCCTCCTCCTCCTCCTCCTCCTCCTCCTCCTCCTCCTCCTCCTCCCTCCTCCTCCTCCTCCTCCTCCTCCTCCTCCTCCTCCTCCTCCTCCTCCTCCTCCTTTCCACAAATGCCATTCCCCTCTAGCACTGATAATGTTGCCTAGATGGGTCATGAAACATCTGCAAGAAAACCACCAAGCTCTGAGAACACCAAGGATGATCCCCACTCCTCCTCCTCCTCCTCCTCCCCTCCTCCTCCTCCTCTCCATAAACTCCATTCCCTTCTAGCACTGATAATGTTACCTAGATGGGTCATGAAACGTCTGCAAGAAAACCACCAAGCTCTGAGAACACCAAGGATGACCCCCACTCCTCCTCCTCCTCCTCCTCCTCCTCCTCCTCCTCCTCCTCCTCCTCCTCCTCCTCCTCCTTTCCACAAATGCCATTCCCCTCTAGCACTGATAATGTTGCCTAGATGGGTCATGAAACATCTGCAAGAAAACCACCAAGCTCTGAGAACACCAAGGATGATCCCCACTCCTCCTCCTCCTCCTCCTCCTCCTCCTCCTCCTCCTCCTCCTCCTCCTCCTCCTCCTCCTCCTCCTCCTCCTTTCCACAAACTCCATTCCCCTCTAGCACTGATAATGTTACCTAGATGGGTCATGAAACATCTGCAAGAAAACCACCAAGCTCTGAGAACACCAAGGATGATCCCCACTCCTCCTCCTCCTCCTCCTCCCTCCTCCTCCTCCTCTCCATAAACTCCATTCCCTTCTAGCACTGATAATGTTACCTAGATGGGTCATGAAACGTCTGCAAGAAAACCACCAAGCTCTGAGAACATCAAGGATGACCCCCACTCCTCCTCCTCCTCCTCCTCCTCCTCCTCCTCCTCCTCCTCCTCCTCCTCCTCCTCCTCCTCCTCCTCCTCCTCCTCCTTTCCACAAATGCCATTCCCCTCTAGCACTGATAATGTTACCTAGATGGGTCATGAAACATCTGCAAGAAAACCACCAAGCTCTGAGAACATCAAGGATGACCCCCACCTCCTCCTCCTCCTCCTCCTCCTCCTCCTCCTCCTCCTCCTCCTCCTCTCCTCCTCCTCCTCCTCCTCCTCCTCCTCCTTTCCACAAATGCCATTCCCCTCTAGCACTGATAATGTTACCTAGATGGGTCATGAAACGTCTGCAAGAAAACCACCAAGCTCTGAGAACATCAAGGATGACCCCCACTCCTCCTCCTCCTCCTCCTCCCTCCTCCTCCTCCTCTCCATAAACTCCATTCCCTTCTAGCACTGATAATGTTACCTAGATGGGTCATGAAACGTCTGCAAGAAAACCACCAAGCTCTGAGAACACCAAGGATGACCCCCACTCCTCCTCCTCCTCCTCCTCCTCCTCCTCCTCCTCCTCCTCCTCCTCCTCCTCCTCCTCCTCCTCCTCCTCCTCCTCCTCCTTTCCACAAATGCCATTCCCCTCTAGCACTGATAATGTTGCCTAGATGGGTCATGAAACATCTGCAAGAAAACCACCAAGCTCTGAGAACACCAAGGATGACCCCCACTCCTCCTCCTCCTCCTCCTCCTCCTCCTCCTCCTCCTCCTCCTCCTCCTCCTCCTCCTCCTCCTCCTCCTCCTCCTTTCCACAAACTCCATTCCCCTCTAGCACTGATAATGTTACCTAGATGGGTCATGAAACATCTGCAAGAAAATCACCAAGCTCTGAGAACACCAAGGATGATCCCCACTCCTCCTCCTCCTCCTCCTCCTCCTCCTCCTCCTCCTCCTCCTCCTCCTCCTCCCTCCTCCTCCTCCTCTCCATAAACTCCATTCCCTTCTAGCACTGATAATGTTACCTAGTTGCATCTGTTATTTCCCCCCCCCCAGTCTAATCTGCAGCACCTTTAACCCTCGATCCTTCCTCTCCTTTCCCAGAATGGATGAGAATTACAATCTCCTTCCACATGGGGTCAATTTCCAGGATGCGATATTTCCGGATACGCAGGAAAACCGGCGGATATTTTCAAGCCTTTTCCAATTTTCCAACTGCAGCCAAGGGCTCCACGCTGTCATGTTCTCCAGCGATTGGGAGGCCCAAGAGGACAACCGGGTAAGTCTCTCTGGGTTTATGTGTTCTTCCCGGAAGCAGTTAACCAAACGGAAGATGGTTGAATGCAAGTTACTTTTCAGCTGTATGAGATTCTCCGTCCTCCAAGTCACAGTTGTGTCCCAAAGGGGCATTTCTTTTTTTTTCAAAAGGCAAGTATTTATTTTTCCTTGTAAGACGTTTCACTTCTCATCCAGGAAGCTTCTTCAGTTCCGTTGAAGGCAAGGGGAACTGAGGAAGCTTCTTGGAGGAGAAGTGAAATGCCTTCAAGGAAAAACAAAGTCCGCTTGCCTTTTGAAAAAGCGCCTTTGGGATTTTTAGCTGTATATTTGAAAAAAACAAAATCATAGAAATTCTCCAGAGTGTCTGTTTGAAGGAAGGATCTAGCATTGGGTTCATAATTGTATGTTTTATGGTTTCCTTCCTGTTATGCTGGCACCATTATGACTTTGAGGGTGTCAATTGCTAACCAATTTTAATCCACGTTTCCAAAGAGAGATTATTTGCACAAACTCCTGTAATTCTATTCTATTCTGTTCTGTTCTGTTCTGTTCTGTTCTGTTCCGTTCCGTTCCGTTCCTGTTCCTGTTCCTGTTCCTGTTCCTGTTCCTGTTCCTGTTCCTGTTCCTGTTCCTATTCCTGTCCTGTCCTGTCCTGTTCTGTTCTCTTCCATTTTCTTCTACTTTTTAATACCACTGTTTGAGCTGGGGGTTGGACTAGAAGACCTCCCAGGTCCCTTCCAACTCTGTTATTCTATTCTATTCTAATTTGTAACTATTTATAACTTGTCTTTTTGATAAGCTAAGCATATTATTGCCAGCGCCTTTAGCTATTTTTAATCATTTTTAAACAAAAAACAGTACTATCCAAACAGATTAATTCATCATTAAATCCTACCACCAAAGCAAACAGCAATTAGAACACCGAACCGTCTTCCTGAGATGCTACATTAACATACATCACCCCAAATACATCCCATATTCATTTAATCATGTCATAACGATGTATCAAACACTGCATGAAAATAAGGGTCTCTTCTTGTAAAAAAAAAAAAAACAGTGTGGAACCCTTGCTATAAATAGCTTGTGGTCTTTTTATTATTATTATTATTAGGATGGGGGGGAAATCCTTTTAAAAAATGGATAAATTGCACCTGTCTCGAATCGAGAACCTTGATGGCCAAATTTCCTTTTCGCTATTTCTGAGACGGCTTGATATCTTTCGTCTGAATTCACTCACTCCAAATTTCTCACTTTCCTTTTTGAACTGGGATATTCTTCCCTTCCCCCCAAGTTTTTTATTTATTTATTTATTTTTTTAACAAACACATCAATGCGTGAACAATATGGCACCTGGGTATCCTACATTCTAATACAAATAAAACTAGTAGGATTAATCATAGTTATTACATTTAATCAACTTACATATTTCTATTAATAATACACATTTACATTAAGTTGCAGTCTCTCATTATCCAATTGTTCCTTGTTTTCTCCTTATCGCTTTTATTTTATTATATAAAAGTGTATACACTAATATTACCCCTTCTCTTATTTCTATCTCTTATTCTAACTTTTAATCATGTTTAAAAAACATTTTCTTTCTATCCTACCTAACTTCTAGTCATGTCACCTACCTAAAAAAAGCAAAGAGAGAGAGAGAAAAAGAAAAGCAAATCAGAATACCAACAAAAAGGAGAAGTCATCTATCCATCATCTCTTGCCCGCTTCAATACTTTAATCGCTATGGTGTTTTTTTTTTTACTTGCCTCCCATATTCCTTTCTTGGATTTTTATCTCTATCTGCATCTACTTCTTGCAGATATTTCTCCCACCTCTACCCTCTTTCGCTGCCTAGCTTCCAAAATTTCCTATCGCCCTTTCAAGAGTATCTTCCTGTATCTCCAATTCTCTTTTCAACCCTCTGAACTGAGATAATCTTAATGGGATACAATCTTCCCTTGACTTCTTTGTGATGGGAACTGTTTGGGCAGAAATATCTATCTACTCTGGCTTTGTAAGAAGAATCACAGTATCGTCTATCTAAAGTTTACTATTCTTGGCTACTCTGACATTGTTGAAACTTCTCCCAAGGGAGAATCCATGGCAAGGATTTCATTTCCATCCCAGACCCTTTCTTAGGCTTCCTTCGAGCCGAGGCCATTAACTATTCCAGCGAGTTTTAAAGAGCAGTTGTCCAAAATTAAAGTGCTACAATTGGAAACTGAGAAGTAAAATGTCTTACAGACGAAGAAACAGCTGTCCTGGGCCTCCGGCCTTTTGCACCTGTGTGTAAAGTAACAGTTCTAAGGATCTATATTTAAGTAGAACTTTCTGGCACTTATTTGCAAGTCTTCTAGCTCAGGCTCATCTTTCCTTAAAATATGCAAACATTCATCGCATCTTTTTTCCCAATCGCAGGCCCTTTTTGCAAGCTAGGCTTTCTGAGAGTTGTTTCTTAAGGAATTCTAGTTAACTCATTCACGGTGGATCTGGCGGTTCGGATGGGTGATTTACTCTTGTATTTTAATTTGGAGAGTCTTTTGATTGGTTTTATTATTTTTTTTAAAAAAATGTGGTTGCCACTCAAGTTACTTGATGAGAATCAGAATCAGAATAGAACTGGAAGGTACCTTGAAGGTCTTCTAGTCCAACCCCCTGCTCAATCAGGAGATCCTGTACCATTTCAGACAAATGGTTGTCCAATTTCTTCTTAAAAACCCCCAGTGGTGGAGCACCCACAATTTCTGGAGGCAAACTGTTCCACTGGTTTATTGTTCTCACTTAGGAAATTTCTTCTTAGTTCTAAGTTGCTTCTCTCCTTGATTGGTTTCCATCCGTTGCTTCTTGTCCTGACTTCAGGTGCTTTGGAGAATAGGTTGACCCAGGGGTGAAATCCAGCAGGTTCTGGCGAACCGGTAGTGGAAATTTTGAGCAGTTCAGAGAACTGGTAGCGGAAATTTTGAGTAGTTTGGAGAACTGGTAGTGGAAATTTTGAGTAGTTTGGAGAACTGGTAGTGGAAATTTTGAGTAGTTTGGAGAACCGGTAGTGGAAATTTTGAGCAGTTCAGAGAACTGGTGGTGGAAATTTTGAGTAGTTTGGAGAACTGGTAGTGGAAATTTTGAGTAGTTTGGAGAACCGGTAGTGGAAATTTTGAGCAGTTCAGAGAACTGGTGGTGGAAATTTTGAGTAGTTTGGAGAACTGGTAGTGGAAATTTTGAGCAGTTCAGAGAACTGGTAGTGGAAATTTTGAGTAGTTTGGAGAACCGGTAGTGGAAATTTTGAGCAGTTCAGAGAACTGGTAGTGGAAATTTTGAGTAGTTTGGAGAACCGGTAGTGGAAATTTTGAGCAGTTCAGAGAACTGGTAGTGGAAATTTTGAGCAGTTCAGAGAACTGGTAGCGGAAATTTTGAGTAGTTTGGAGAACTGGTAGTGGAAATTTTGAGTAGTTTGGAGAACTGGTAGTGGAAATTTTGAGTAGTTTGGAGAACCGGTAGTGGAAATTTTGAGCAGTTCAGAGAACTGGTAGTGGAAATTTTGAGTAGTTTGGAGAACTGGTAGTGGAAATTTTGAGCAGTTCAGAGAACTGGTAGTGGAAATTTTGAGCAGTTCAGAGAACTGGTAGTGGAAATTTTGAGCAGTTCAGAGAACTGGTAGCGGAAATTTTGAGTAGTTCGGAGAACCGGCAAATATCACCTCTAGCTGGCCCCAGAGTAGGGTGGGAATGGAGATTTTGCAATATCCTTCCCCCAGGAGTGGGGAGGGAATGGGGATTTTGCAGTATCCTTCTCCTGGTATGGGAAGGGAAGGGTGATTTTGCAATATCCTTCCCCCAGGAGTGGGGAGGGAATGGGGATTTTGCAGTATCCTTCCCCTGCCATGCTCACCAAACCACGCCCACCAAGCCACACCATGCCCACCAAGCCACGCCCACAAAAAGTAAAAAAAATTGGATTTCACAACTGGGTTGACCCCCTCTTCTTTGTGGCAGCCCCTCAAATATTGCCACCCTGCTATCGTGTCTCCCGCCGTCCTTCTTTTTCTCTAGACTAGCCATTCCTAATTTCTGCAACTGTTCTTCTTAAGTTTCATACATCTGGGTGGCCACACATATTAAATGCATAAACAAATAGGTAAAATAATTTTGTGTTATGTTTTTGAAAGTGGCTTTAGCCTGGGAATAAATGGGAACTATAACATGACTAGGGTAGAAAATCCTGGCAATTGAAATCCACCTATCTTAAAGTTGCCAAGTTTAAGAAATGCTGCATTCAGGCATCCCAAGTTGTTCAGTTCAAATGTTCAGCAAGTAAGATCTAAAATGGCTATTTAGAAAACTCGGGGTTTATGTCGGTGGGATAACAGCCAGCCAGCTTCATTAACAGGGCATTTCGTTCAATTACAAATTCCCTTCATTGTGTTTTCCATACAGTCAGCCAGGGACTTCATTAAAAACTGCCATGAGATGAATCAAACTGGCAACGTACAAATTCGATAAATAATGCCGTGCGTCAGTCAAAGGCCTGTTTTTCTTCCATTAATTCCGTTCCTCTGCCTGTTTTCTTCTCTGTTGGCAAACTCTGGGCTTTTCTTAAGTCTTCTGATTTTTTTTCTTCCCTTATAAAAGAACGGTGTTGTTTTAGTTGTCTAAAGATTTAGGGAGGATTAGTTGGGAAAAACAGTTCCTAGAATTTCTGCCAAAAAGTGGATTTTTGGGGGGAGGGAGAAGTCCGGGGACAAAGCAAAATAGCAAGCTGTACACTTCTGAAGAAAGGGGAAAAAATATTCCTAATAATTTGCAAGGGTTGCTTCTGTTCTTTTAAAAAAACTCCTATCTTGGAGTTCTAAATAGGCTATTCATTTAAAACCATGTGGCTTTGGTTAGGAGTTACGCAGTACAGAACTTGATACTGTTCAGTTATAATCAGTGGTGGGATTCAAATAATTTAACAATAGGTTCTCTGCCCTAATGACCAGCTAGGTAGGCATGGCTCGGTGGTCAT